TTTTTTTTTTTTTTTTTTTTTTTTTTTTTTTGGTAACGAGGATCAAATTCAGGTCCTTGTGCTTGCAAGCCAGATGGTGGAACCACTAAGCCAAAGCCCTGGCCCTTAACTGATCTTTTTAAAACACAAGCTGGATCCTATCACTTCTCTGCTCAAAAGACTCTCAAGAATTTCCAACTAACCAGGAATAAAGCCAAACCTTTGGCATGGCTGAACAAGACCTTCGTCTTTGCTACCTCTGTGACCTCATCTCCAGCCACATCCCTGACTCACTCTGCCCAAGCCACACAGATATACTCTACCAATCAGGGCTTCTGCACTGTTCCTGCCTGAAGACTCCCCTCCCCGCAAACAAGTTCCACGTTAAGCTGGGCATGGTGGTGCTCGCCTGTTATTTCAGCACTCAAGCTGAAGCAGAACTACTGAAAGTCTGAGGCCAGTGTGGGCTCCACACTAAGTTGAAGGCCTAAACTACAGAGCAAGGAGACCCTGTCTCAACAACAACAAAAAAAGAAAATTACTCTCTCACAGAAGCAGGTCTCATTAACAAAAGCTACCTCATTAGAAAGGTCTTTCCTGATCACAGTCATTAAAAAGCACACCACCTTCCCTCCTACTGTCATTTTCTAGTGTCTAACTTAATTTTTAATACTAATTACTACTGATAAATTATTTAGAAGAAAAGCAGGGATTTTATCAGTTTTGTTTGTTCCCAGCACCCAGATGCAGTGTGAGGAACATTTACTGGGTTAGGGAGATAGCTCAGGGGTAGAGGGCTTCCCTAGCATGTGGGAACCAATGGATTCAATCCCCAACACTGCAAAACAGAAAAAAAAGGTTGCTGAGTAAATGACCACCTAAGATGGATTTAAAATTATACATATAATTCAATAAAACCAGAAAAATGAGTGAAGTGCTTAGACAACATGGCTCCTTTCGTTATTAATTTGCTTAATGTATATAAGGAGCCCATACTCAATGTAATTTCAGTACTTTGAGTCATATATGAAAGATGTAACATTAGTGTGTCCAAAACATTCATTACTCCATAATATATAATTTCATTAACTTTAACAATGGACTAAAGACAGCAAGACAAAGCTGAGATTAACCCAGATCAAATGACTCTTGATCGGATGCACAGCACATGCAGTGGACTTCATGCAGCCCAGGGCTTGGGGCTGGGGTAGACCTTTGCCAAAGAACCACCAAAAATTTCTAACTAAAGTTTGTTTCAAGTCCTCTGACAGTTACAGAGGTGCAAAAGAACTGGAGACATGATTAGGAAGCTAACACACAGGCAACAAATAGCCAGGAAAATAATCTAAAATTACAATTATAAGATAGACTAAGAGTAGTGCTGACACAGATTACATATTCAAAAGGTAGAGGAATGGGGGCTGGGGATTTAGCTCAGTGGTTCTGCTGCCTGCCTCGCAATCATAAGGACCCGAGTTCAATCCCCCAAACCAAAAACAAAACAAAGCAAACAAACAAAAAAAAGTAGAGGAATGGGGGGAAAAAAAGGAATTAAGATATATCACGTGCAGGTACAAGTTCCTTATGATGAACGTGACCACTATGAATATCTGAAATAAACTTAATTTTAAACTTAATTTAGATTTTAAAAAGGTACTGCATTGAAAAAAAAAAGGTACTGCATAACACTTTATGTGCATTATAGTATGGAAAACAAAAGGTTTAAATAGAAACATCAATAAATAAAACAACAGCCCAATACGGGGCAGTTATCTCTCCACAGCACAGCTGGCTTTCCCCGTGTACTCCAAGGCTTGCTGGAACCCAGGCTGGTCATCACAGAGGGCCTAAGATTTAACTCCTCCATCCCGACAGTGGAGGTCAGGACTACTGCTGCCCTGGGACAGCTCTCCCAGGGTATACTTAACCAAGCAGGAGTTTGTTTAGGAAGACCTCTTGCTCCCTCTAGTGGTTGTACAATTTACAAGTTCCAGGGTTTTAATTTTTTAAGCGTTGCATTACAGATACTCACAGAAAGTTTTTCCACATCTCCCTTTAAAACTCGTTCTAAGTAAAGCTGTTTAAGTTCTCGTTCCAACCGTGATGGCAGGCCAGGATACATAGTAGATCCTCCAGAAAGCACGATGTGCTTATAGAATTCAGATCTACAAAGACACAACACAGTTATTTGGGGTTTCAGATTAGGAAAGTATTACCTCAGGGTTACTATTACTTATTTTCTTAAAAACAATTTTTTTAGAGACAAGGTGTCTTGGACTCAAGTGATCCTCCTGTCTCAGCCTCACTGACGCATGCTAGCCTAGGGTTATACTGTTACAGTCAGCCTCAGAGTGCTGTGGTTGGCTGTGGGGTAACCAAAATTACAATATAAATCACAGGTTGAAATGTTTGCTATTACCCCTCCTTACAGATAAAAATTTTTTAATAATTTTGATATACATGCTCCTATCCTAAAAGCATATGACGTACTTCTTCACAGATGAAATTAGTGGTTTTTTTTTTGGTTTTTTGAGACAGGGTCTCACTATGTAGTTGAGACTGACCTGGAACTCACTATGTAGCCCAGGCTGGTCTTGAACTCACAGCGATCCTCGATCCTCCTGCCTTAGCCTCCCGAGTACTGGGATTACAGGCGTGCGCCACCACGCCCAGCAGTGGCATCTTTTAATAGGGACAGAAGTTTACATTAGGAACTTTCAAAATTTGGTCTGTTATCACAGAGCTTCCCTGGAGCAACCAAGATATGTTTGTTTACTGTAAGTAGCCATACACTTTTTTGACTTTCCAATTTTTCCATTTGTTATTTGTAGTTTGTCTTTTGCTCCTTTGCCTTGAGGCTGTCTGCTGTTATTTTTGGCTAGATCGATGTGTTTCCTTTTTCAATCAGTGCCATTTTTCTTCCTTAAATATACTCTTGACTACAACACCAGAAAATCCAATCTAAAACAGCTGCATTAAGTAATAAATGTAACAGAAGTGAGTGAGGGTCTGAGGATATCTCACAGTGAAGTTCAAAGAGCTAAACAACATGAGTGTTAGCCTTATTCAGACTGATTCCTAAGTTTGCACCTGCTTCAAGCTCTCAAAGGCTAAGGCTACTACAACTACATTCTACTGTTTGGTATTTAACTGTGCTGAAGGCACCATAACAAGCAGGAAGCATGGCTACATGCAATATTAACACAAAAATGTTTATAAATGCATAACACATAAGACAAACACTGAGTGCCATGCCACTTTCCTATGCAAACTCTGTGGAGAGAGTACTGAACGGGATTCCTGTGCTTCTAAAATGGCAACACTTAATCACTGTCAACAAGGACACAATTTTAACTGCTTCTGCTATCAATGAACATTCAATCAAGGGATAAAACTATCTAAATAACTACCATGAAGAATTTACCATAGTTATGAGAGCTAGATTCAATTTTCTGATCATTTTCTATTACGTTTATTTTTATGAGGCAACTATTATTTTTATTAATTCCCATTATTAACTTGGTTACCCAGCCACCCTACCCAAACTAATCAGGTGGTTGTTAAAGTCAGGATTAAGAAAACACACACACACTTGCTTCATAAAATGGCTCTGGGTTAATTCCTCTATAATCTGGGTACTAGGGAAAACTTTCTGACTCAAACTCTGGTTACAATGAAAAGATTATAAATCATTGTTTTTTTGAGATAGGATCTCACTATGTAGCCCAGGCTGGCCTTGAACTTGCAGTGATCCTCTCTGCCTCAGCCTCCAGGGTGCTGGGATTACAGGTGAACCCCACAATGCCCAGCAAATCATTTTATACAATTTAGTTAAAACAAAGTTTTGCAGGCCAAAAACACTATAAGCAAGACAAACTGTGAGAAAACATCTGTAACAGGTATCACAAAGCTAAAAGACAAAATTCTGAACACTGGAAAAAAAGACAAAATCAAATTATATAGAATAGGCAAGCCAACAACAAACCAACACCACCACCACCACCACCACCACCACCACACACACACACACACACACACACACACACACACACTCACAAACTACAACAAGTGGTCCTTAAAAGCACATAAAAATATGTTCAACTTCACTTTTAATAATAGAAATGAAAATTAAAACTACACTGAGATAATTTCTCACTCAGTAGACTGGTAAAAAAGTAATGAACTGGACAAAACTAAACAAGGCTGTGGGCCTGCGTACCCTCATATGTTACTTGGGGGTAGGAGAAATCAATGGTACAACTTCCATGGAGAAGCATTTAGTGATACCTTCCAAAGATACATGCATTTATGTCAAAGTGAAAAACTTCTGCACAGCAAAGAGGCAACATAAAAGAAAGTATCTGCAAACTATGTATCTTTTTCTGTTTTGTTTTATTTTTGGGGACAGGGTTTCAGTTTGTAGTTTAGGCTAGCAATGAACTCACTATGTAGCCCAGGTGGGCCTCAAAACCTCAGCAATCCTCCTGCCTCTGCCTCCAGAGTGGTGGGATTACAGACATGTACCATCATGCTACGCAGAGTCTCTTTGTTTTGTTTTGTTTTGTTTTCTGTACCAGGGATTGAACTCAGGATCTTGCACGCTTGCAAGGCAGGTGAGGTGCTGCCGAGCTAAATCCCTGGCCCCAAACCACATATCTGATAAAGGGTTAGTATCCAAAATACATAAGGAACTCTACTAAACTCTAACAGATCAATTAAAAAATAGACAAAGGAGGGAATGGGGATTTAGCTCAGTGGTTCTGCCACCTGCCTCGAAAACACAAGGTCCCGAGTTCAATCCCTGGTACAAAAAGAAAAAAAAAAAAAAAACAAATGGCCACTGTTATGTGATAAAAGAGCAAACATTCCTAATTATCAGAAAAATGCAAATTAAACCACAATGCAATAATGTCACATACTCATTACTGTTGTTGTTATTTTATATTATTATTATTATTGGTACCAGGGATTGAACTTGGGTCCTTATGCTTGCAAGTCAGGCCAGAACCACTGAGCTAAATCCCCAGCCCCCTATTATTATTATTATTATTGACTTTGTACATAACCCACACCAGCCTTGAACTCACGGTAACCCTCCTGCTTCAGCCTCCTCAATGCTGGGATTACAAACATGTGCCACCACACTCAGCTTAGAATGGGTACTACAAGTGGGGAAGTCAAATGTTGGTGAGGACACAGTGAAAAGGGAACCCTTGTACACTGTTCACGGGACTACAAATGAACACAGCCATGAAGAAAACTGTGGGGTGGGGCATTTAGCTCATTGGTGCCACCGTCAGCCTCACAAGCGCAACGTCCCAGAGTTCAATCCCCACTACCACCAAAAACAAACAAACAAACAAACAAACACCAACCAGTGTGAGGATCTGAGGATATGGCTCAGTGGTAGAGAATTTACCTAACATGCACAAGTCCCTAAGTTCAATCAGTCAAAAAAAAAAAAAAAAAAAAAAAAAAAA